ATGGCAGGAGCCAGCATTCCTGAGAGATGAGGTGATGTTGTCACCAAGTGGAAATCTCAAACTGAATTGCTATGAAGCAAAGTATTTTATGTCACTCCAGCAAATTCAGAACAAAATTTCTTTGTATTTTGGGCATGTCAGAACACTTCATTTCAATGTAATTTTGTATGAAACTTAATGTAGACATCTTAGACATCTTCCCTAAGAATATTAAAAAAAAGAAAAAAAAAGATTGGTGTCTTTTGACATGAATAATGAAAATTTCAAGTCCTGTAATTCTGACTTGCAATGAGAACAAACAGTACAATGTCAAAATATCCCACTGAAATTTTATTTTCATGCTCAGTTGTACTTTTGGAGAATTGGGTGGGATGACCTATCTCTATACTAATTTTTGGAGACTATGGGTGCAAATTTAAAACAGACCTTTCTATCCCAAAGTAAAACTGGCATGTAGCCTTTTGATTCAGTTACCAGATGGTGTATGATATTTATGAGAACAGTTGTTAAATGCTTTATAATGTGACTCACCACACTGATAGCTGCATATTAATGAAAAGTGGACACTGCTATCGCAGTTACAAGTGCTCTATTGTTGAGGGGAGCTGGTTGAGCTGATTCATAGAAACATTTTCCCTCAGAAGTTCAGTCTAGAATATTTGGATTCATCCTCAAAGTGCTCATTTTATGAAGCTGAAAACTGCTAGCTTTACTGGAAAAAAAGTCTTTTAAACCACAATTTTGACCTTTCTGAGAGGGAAATGCAGTTCAGCAGCTAATTATATTTATTTTTTTAAATTAATTTCTGACCTGGGTGATACTTCTAGCTGCTAACTAAAATCATCTAGGGATGTTAATTAGCTGTTAATCAGACCAGCTGGAAGGCATTCTTCCCTTTTCTTGGTGTAAGTTATGAAGAATTTTAGATAGGAATTTTTTTTTCCCATTTCCACATTCTTAAGAAATCATTCTAGGGCAACATGATAGGATTTAATTCAATTCAGGTATTATTTTAAAATCCTTGCTATGAGATTTTTGATAAAACATTGCTTATGAGTTATTTCAATAGCTAAAAAAACACTGACAGCATGCCACACATTTCATGAAATTAAAAGAACTATAAAACAGGCCTAAACCACAAGACCATGAAAACTATTGCAAAGACAAGTAGATATTGTTGTTAAACACTCATTTATTTTCCTTTATCTTGTCCATTTTTACATTGCTTTTGTTTGCTTTTGAGTTGATTTACCAATCAGCCTTAATGGAAACACTGCAGCTGAAATGGCATCTGTAGCCCTGCTACAGCTTGCTGTAGCTTGTGTGAGTAAAAATAAGCCCAAATATACCTAAACTAAAATTACAGACCTTGTTCTCTCTGGTTGCTGCATTGCAGACAGAGTCGACAGGGAATAGCCCGTGGTGGAGGGAGTTATACAAAAGGTACATGATTTAACTTTTTTCCCAGGATCTGTAAGGAGTCAAAATTCCTTTAAGTACTCAAAATAAACCAGATGGAGGGCAGCCCTGAATTGTCCTCTGATTCTTCATCATCTATGCATAATTTCACTTATCTAAAGTTGCAGTCTGGATTTAAGAGCATCCAGAAAAAGAGACTGGTTGGAAAACAGCAGTCTGGTGCAATGCCAGAAGCTCACAACAAATCCAGGAGAATTTTACCATTCCCCTGCTGCTCCCATGAATAATCAAACCTCACTTAAAATCTCTTGAGATTATTTTTTCTCCTTCAGCTCCCACTAAATCTTAGTAAGGATAGTGAGATTCCAGTGAGATCCTTAGCAGTGTAAAGTACAATTTGTGCCAAAGGAAACCAGACAGCATCTGGTGACAAAGGTTGGAGACACTTGTTGTACTCACACCGTGTTGCAACAGATTTCTCTTTACTCAGATGCCTGTTTGCACTTCAGCCTTGGGGTAATGGAGGGGAGATACAGAGACAGAGACAGGTACCAGTGTGACCTTCTCAGTGACCATTGACCCAGCAGCCACCTGTGATCGATATTTCAGGCAGGGCTGAAGCTCCTCCTGGTTCTGCATTTTGGCTGCAGAAAACCCCACGTTATTGGCAATGGTGCAGGTTGGATTCCTAGGTATCACTGAAGGTCCCATCCTGAGACTGCAGTCAAACAGATGTTTGCCCACAGATGCGTCTGTCCAGGGGGCTTCATGAAGTCAATGCATTTACCCCGGACAGTGAAATATGTATTTGTGTGTTTGACAAAAGGGGGTGCTGCATAAAATGCTAGTCATCCAAACAAATGTTGCAAATAAGAGGGAACAAGTATGAAGTTTAGAACTGGCCATCTCAAATGCAAGTTTTCCTGTAACTCTCCTTAGCATGTGTTTAATCTCATCCAGCTATCGCCCTTCTTTAAAGAAAAGAGAATTAAACTTCCCTCCACTGTCTTTTAAAACCAAACAAAGCCTGCAAACTCTACAGGAAAGAACAGCAAAAAACTGGGGGTCTGGAGGAATGGATTCATGAGGGGAAATATACACAGACCTTGGTGAAGTAGTGGTTCAGAGGCAATGTAATAAACCAATGAATATTTGCAAGCTGTAAATACTGAGGATAGAAATTTGGTTGGACATTGTCAGACATAATCAGGACTAAAAGGAGAGGAAAAAAATATATGCTGAGAATAAAGGAAAAGGACAATTCACTGAGATGCAATATAGCTGGGAATTAATAGATGGCACACCTGTCCTGCAGGGAAGAAAGTGCTAACAAGTAAATAGGCTGAGAGAGATGTCAGGACTGTCCATCTGTCACTGCCATGGTAAGGTGACTTGTTAAATCTCAGCCATTTATGTGTGCACATGCTTAGCTTTCAAAACCTGGCTTGGCTGCACATAAAACACCATCTATCAGGCTGAGTTTGCCAGGCTCAATGCAAATTTGGGCCACCTGTGCCAACCCCTCTGCAGCCACAGCAGGTACCCACAGGCAGAGGGCTCAGGCAGTGCCACTGTGTGCAGGGCTCCCATGTGCCAGTGCAGATTCACGGTGACACTTGTCACTGCCATGTGGGCCTGGGTCTGGGTGTGGCAAAACTGTCTCCTTGGGAGGTTTGACCTCAGGTAGGACCAAAAAATGAGAAATGGAGCAAGACCCTTTAAAAGCTTGTGGGAAGCCAGTGAGCCTCTGAACAACCTCTGCCCTGGCTGTACAGGAAGGTTTCTGGTCAGGTTCCCTTGCATCACCCCAGCAAGGTCTCAGACACAGTGGAAATACCCGTTTTACAAGACTCAACATTTTTGTTCTCTGCCTCTCCCTCCGAAGTGCTGCCAGACAGTGCATCTTCAGCAGCAAAGGAGGCTGAAGGTTTGTCCCAGCCCTAGGTAGAGCCAGGCAGGCTGACCTAACTCTACCCCTCTGCAGAACCACCCCTGGGTGCGGAACCAGGATCAGGCAGGAAAACCTCCGGCCTGCCTTGCCCCAGCTGCCCCCAGCTCGGAAACCTCTGAACAAAATGTTCCCGCTGGAAAATGGTAACGAACTTGCTCCTTGTTGCAGATTTGCAAAAGACTTTCCGCACGCCAAAGACGGTCCCTCCTGGCCCCTCCCCGCCCCACCGGCGGCCGATGAAAGAAAGCACTTCCACCAAGGTTCTTGGCTCTTGCTAAGGGAGAGTTATTTCCTGCTTGGGGTGTGCTGACCTTAGCCTCTGGAAATGGGAAATTCCACCCTGAATCCGGCGGGAACTTATTTCACTGACCGAAGTCCGTCCTGTCTCAGTGACATTCTGTGGGAATTTTTCCTCTGAGAAACCAGTGGCTTCTGAGGGTAGAAAATGGAGCTTTGTCTAGGTTTTTAACAAGCCTGGTTAATCCACCATTGGAAAACATTGTAAAATGTCCCTTTAGTGAATTACTAATCTACTAAACTAGAAATTAGAAGAAAAATTAATTAAACCAGCTAGTTATTCAGACTAGAGACAGCAGTATTTATTACAGCCCGTCCTCTCTAACCTGCACCCTGGATGCAAAAGTCAGGTTATCTGATCAAGTAAAGCTGCTACTCTGAGTTAAAGCCAGCACTGAGGTTATGAGAGGTGTGAGGAGGGGAAGGCCTTTAGGTCTCTTACTTCAGCTGGAAAAGGCACGGCTTTTGCATTGTGTGTTTACTGGTTTCCCTTCCCAGCGTGTTGTGACTTGCCCTTCCAGGAGTGAAAGCAGACCTACAGATGTTAGTTCATCATGCTCGCCTGTGTACGGTCTGGGCTTTGGCTTGGAGCGCTGCGTTCCGGCTGCGCTCCCAGCCCGCGCAGCAGAGAGCAGGCACGCAGTGCCCTCGGCCCGCTTCTGGGCGAGGGCTGGGAGCGGGGAGCAGGGCGGCGGGGCGTCTGTGCCCCCCATACCATTCCTAAGCGGTGTGCATTTACGTGTCACCCAGTTAAACAGATGCAAGGAGAAAATGACCTCTCTGGCTGACAGCACAGAGCAGAGCTGTGTGGGGAGCTTGCACGGAACAACCGGGCGGCCGTGGCAGAGGCAGGAGGAGCGGGGAGCCTGTGGGCAGACAGCCCTGCGGAAAGGGAGGAAATCCCAGGTGAGGCTGACCCAAAGGGTTAGGAGCGCTACCAGCTTTCAATGCCCTGGACTTTTCCACAGGCATGGTTTTCCAGGGATAAGGTTTGGAATATAAAACTCTAAATGGGGTTAGAATAGCAACTAAAAGAAAAAGTGAAGAGGCATTAAATATAATGGCAAATGAGATTATTTGTATTAAAACATTAAAGAATAATGCCGGAAGGGCTATGCACAACGCCTGGCCTCAGGCTCTGGTGTCCCTAGGGCAGCAGGAGCAGCGGCACGGAGGTGCTCTGTGTGAGAGCCTCCCGTGGCCGGGCCGGGCCGGGCCGGGCCGGGCTGCGGACACCCGGGCACCGCCAGGGCCGTGGCACCTCCAGCGCGGTGTTTCTGTGACACCCGAGCTCATCTGGCAGCCGCCGTGTCCCGCAGAGCAGATGCTGCCCGTGGCCGTGACCGGCGGGCAGGCAAGCAGCATTCCACATGTGCTCCCGGGTTTCCCGATTGGTGTGCTCCGCCGAAGGGGCTGGTCCTGGAAGTCAGCTCCTGTGCCTGTCACAGATGATATTTTTATGCAAGGAAACAAAACCAGGATATCTGATGGACTGTGTTATCTTTACAGACAGCTTGGAGCTACAGATGCAAGGCAAGAAGTTTTATGCTTGAACTTTGAAACTGTGAGTGGAATTTGAAAACAGTTTTAAATGCCTACTTTTAATTTTTTTAAATTTTATTTTGTGTATGCATGTATGTGTGTGTACAACTTTGCATGAAGTATATCTATTTGCATAACTTCGTTATTAAGCAAACTATTGTGAATTGTCCTAAGATTAAATAATTATTGCTTTGGAAAACTTTGCAAAGTGTTAGCTGCACTTACAGCTGGACTAATATATGTGCACACTGAAGAAGAGAAGGATATTCTTTTCAAGTGAGTGCAATTAATCTAGTTTGAAATTATTTCAAATCATCTTTTCCACTGGCAAATCTGTTTGAGCAGGACTAGGTGAACTGAGGGAGAATCTCCTGGGAGTTATCAGCAAATGTCAGGCTGGTCTGTGTGTCTTTGTTACAGGCACATTTGATGTTTGCTTGTGTATGCAGAGGGATTAGGTAAAAACCTGCTGTTACCATTGTGTGGCACTGCACTTGCTGGATGAAAAATATGTTGGTACCAGGTGTTAGAAAGCTGGCCAATTAATGATGATTGCAGGAAATTAGTTTAAGAGAATATTGTCCATTATTATGCAGATTTACAGAACTAATTCTAACAGATACATTGCACTAGCACAGGGGGATAATTTCTGTAGCTGAAACATTAATAATCTGCTCTTTCTTGCATAGGAATAATGAAATTAATTTCTGTGGGAGAGCTCTAGGGGTTGATACCCAGATCAGAAGTCCAAACCTGAGCAGGCAGTTTGCCACTCCAGGCTTGTGATATTTTCACTTCCATATGGGAATTTTCCATGATGGTCTAACAGGACCCCTGTCATCCTAGGGTGTTATTTTATATACAATCTTGTGTGAAAAGAGTTACATGCTACAACTTTTAATAATCAAGAAAACATCACTTTGATGTTAGTGCAAGCTGAGATATGTGCTCTAAATTTTTTTTTTTAATTGTCTTAAATCCTATCTGGATTGTTCCACAGCTCTTTCTAGCTACCCAAAACAAACCAACACATTTCTCAATTTAACATACATTTTCCTTAGTAAGCAGCCATATTTCTCTTCTCTTCTTCACGTTTCTCTTTCTTGGTGTTGTATCAGTGTATAAATCTATATTCTGGTGAGTCCAGGTGAAATCCAAAGGTTAAGTGAAAATTGTGGGTAAGTGGCATGCTACTGCTAAGTGGGTATAGCAGAAACCCCATCCCTGGTGGGTCCATCACCACTCATTTTCCTTCTGGGTGCCTCCAGATCATGCAGCAACACAAACAGCATCCAGATGAGGTGTGGGCATACAAGTGCATTTCTGCTGCATTAGTCAGAGCACATGGCATGGGATGATACCAGCTTAGTACAACAGGCGGTGAGGCAATTCAGTCCATTGCCTGCTAAAAAGTAAATGTCAGTATTTCTTAAACAAATGAACTGCTGGAGTAAACCTGTAACTTTTTGCTACTCTTATAACATTGGTTGCAGAGTTTCTGTTACACCACTGGCTTCTCTAAAGTCAGATATACTGTATCATCAAGCCCTGCCGAGAATTAATCTGAATTTATTGGAAATAAGTGATTTATCAGTGATGATAAATTTCCCTTACCTTGATTCCTTTTCTCTATCTTTTGTTGGTCACTACAGCAGGGACAACCTGGGTTTATCCAGCAGAGCAAAACACGGTGTTTTTCCCAAAATTGAATTTGGCACTGACAGAAAAGTGGTCCCACAGAGAAAATATATTTTCAATATATTTTGGGCAGAGAGGCCTTCTTAATTGATGTAGAGGAAATTCTAAATGGAAGAGTCCTGCTCATAGATGTATAATGAATTGGTGTTCTGTGTTGAACAAACTGCAGCATTTTTATTTCAATAATGTTAAAATCAATACATTTTCTTTTCACTTTCTAAACAGCAAATGAGGCTTTAAAGAAAATCTAGGCATATATAGAAATGCATTTCAGCCAACTGTCCTTTCAATGGTGATAAAGTCCTTAAACTAAAGGGCCTCTATAATCCTTATAATGTAAAATGTTTCTTCTTCATGTCACATAGTTTTGTTCTTCTTGTTTCCTTAATTTGGCAGTATTTTCTCTATTAGATATTGCTGCCTAGATATAATGGCCCAGATTCTCAGCTAGCAAGCATGAATAGAGAATAACTTCATTGAAGTCAATTACATGATCCTGGATTCATTCCAGTGTGACCAGAGTTGAAATGTGGTTCAATATGGGCAGCTGCCATCCCTGCCAGGCTGGATGAGGAGATGAATGAAGAGTTACTGCAGTTGTGTATGGTTCTAGCAGAAGGATGGTCCTGCCAGCTTTCAGTTGTGCTCTCACCTCCAGCTTCTTCCAAAAGCAAAGATTAAATAAAGCAATCTCACTTTTATTCCACAAACTTCAGCTTTGTGTCTCCAGTCTATGCAAGGTTGAAGCTAATCCAGCTACATGCCTTCACACCCTGCCTAACCTTTGACAACTATCTCAAGAAAGCAAATGTATGTGTTAGTCTTTATTTTCTTTCCTCCTGCTCAGAACGATTTTAGGATTCCCTAGATAATTTTTATGTTTGTGGTGTTCTGTACTGGTGATGCTATCTTAGGAAGCTTGCTTCTCGCTGTGAAATTGCTGCTCCCTGTGATATTCCTGGAGGCTGCTTCCCCATTCCTGGAGAAAGTTCTGGTTTCCGTCTCTGTTGTGTGATGATAACCACACTGTTCCCATGGCCACCTACCCAGCAAAATAACTCCCAGGTCTTTGTCGTGGAGAGACTAATGGGGCTATTTTGTATTATAGGTGGGGTTTCCTTGCAACCGTTTTGATTTCCCTGTTCTGCACACTAGGACAGTCCAGAGATCCTGCACTACAGAGAGGAGAGGTTTTGTGTGACTCTCTGCCGGCTCTGTCCTATCTCCTGAGATCCATCCCAGAGGCATTAGCTGGCCTTGTTTCAAATGGGAGAGCCAGCTCTGACTGATATTGCTGGTGAGAAACATTCAGTTTATACCTTTCTTGCTGCAGCTAAAGAACTGAATTCTGTGATATCTTTACCAATAGCAATTCATCTCAGCTAGTTAGAAATGCCAAAGCTATGAAAAAAGGTCTGAAGGGGAGAAAGGCCTCTGTGGTGAGGCTGGTTTCCTAGTTACTCTGAAGGGCAAAGAAGAACATGGTATGTTCAGATTCCTTACAAATGCTACCTGCTGTGAGAACTTCCAGGAACACACAAGTCTCTAAACATTCAGTATCACCAAGAAATAAACACAACAGTGAAGCCAACAGGCCTGTTCTTCACTGGAGTTTCCCAAGTTATTAGAGTGAAGTGTGTTCATATCTACCACTAAAGTGGGCATTAGATTAAGCTAAGACTCAGCTGAACTGTAGCTAAAATAGTTTCTTTTGAAGTACTTTTTATCATTACATATCGGATATTTTTGTGCTATGTGGGCACATTCTCAACAACAGAACTCTATTAATAAAATAAACTTAACAAATTCTATCTGTATGGGCACAAGGTTTACCTTGAATAACTTATATGATGTATACTCATATGATGTATGCAGCCTAATTACAAAATTTTTTATTATTTTTTTTTAATTATCAGAACTTAGAAGTTATATAAAACCTTACCTTTTATAACTATTTAGTATTATGTAGCATTTTTTTTTGCTGATAATAGGTATGCATCAAAGGCTGTTATTTTGGAACAAGTAGTTCTACTAGGAAACTAGAAAAATGTGCCTGATTTTTTTTTTCAATTAATATTCTGCTTCCACATATGCATTTGTGAGATGAAGATATTTGTTGTGCAGTTAGTCAACAGGGGTAATGAAAATGATCAAGCAGATGAAGAGATGCTGAGCACAAGCCAAAGAGTCAACAAAGTCAAGGAGGACTGTGGACCTAAAACATAACACCTTGGTCACAACACTGCTAATATCTCTGTTTTTTCAGGACAGAGAAGTATCACACTATGCTCTCACACTATACTCTCACAAAGCTTTGCAAAACTGGGGCCTTTGAGTCACCTGAGAGAAGCTGTCCAGAAGCAATGTGTGATAGGAAGGGAGTTAAGGGCAAAGGAAAGCACTGTAAAAACAGACTAGTGCTAATACAACACAAATGCTCCTTGAAGCTGAAAATGAGAAAGCACAAAAGCTGTCAAGTGGAAAGATGAAGGTATGAGTAAGAATCATGTACCTCTGATGTTTTTTGCCCTTTGTGCTATGTGTCTCATGCCTTAGGGTAAATGAATAATACTCTGTTTTGAAGACAAATTAAGTTACTTTAATTAATGCATTATGCATTGTTTTGAAGACAAATTAAATTACCTTAATTAAATTGCTGGTTTTATGTTCTCAGGAAAAAAAAAAAAGCCAAACATAACCAACTGTATTCATATGTCAATGGTAGGGGCAGCTTTTGGGATCACACATGTAATAGGAATGTGGAGGGCTGGAGGGAGGTGCACCATGAGCAACCCAGACCACAGCTCTCTGGGTCTATCCAAAAAAATTAGAGGGATCCCAAACACTGTTGTTCCCAAAACCTTTACAGCCACAACTGGCTTTTTCAACTTTCAAACCCCAGATGCTTTAGTGCCACTGCATTATGTCCTGAAATTACAGGAGTCTGAGTGGCATATCTAGACATCATAAAAAACCCACCTTTTTCAATAGTTTTCTTATCATATAGAACCAGAAATTTATGTGGTTTCTCTCTGTTCCTCTGTGAAAAATGAGCTAAGACATCTTTCCCTGGCATGTTATTGCAGTGACATAAATAGGTAAGCTAAGTATATTTTAAAGAGGGGGCATTTAATGACTGGTTGTGAAAAAACAAGAGGGACTGACTCTATTATTTTGGAATTTAGCCAAAGGAAAAAAAAAATGAAAGCAATTTAGGATATTGTCTGTCATTGTCTCAAGCTGAAACTTTGAAAATTGCACTCTGTATCTTTATACCCTGGTATACATCTTTACACTTTTAGATACTTATACTTGTGCTTATGT